AAACAGTTACCGCATCCAGCCTGATCTTTGAGTTCTATTCTCCGTGTTAATTCTGCTTCGTTTAAACAGTTTCATCCAATTACATTTTCAGTGAGAGTGGAGTCTAACAAAGAACTGCTCCTCCTGCTTCCAAGACATCATCACACCGGCCTGCTCAAAGCATTTCCCACCTTTAACCTGGCAAATTTTAAATAAATTCTCTTTAAAATATGCAGTTATTCACCCCCTGCTAAATTCACCTAATTTGCACCCTGTAATTAAACACCAATCTCAAAATTGTCTCATTTATTTGAGGTTCTGGATAAAGCAATGTAATCTGAAACTGTACCTTTCATGAATAATAACACTGTTTGCACTCTTATTTGAGCACTTCATTGAGACAACCTTGTCTACTGTTTCAGTGATCACAGGAGTTGTCTCATCTTCCATTAAATTTTGCCGCTAGTCTTTAGCTCAGAGGTCTGGGAGGAGGTTACTGACTTAAACCCTGACAGGGTTTAAGTTAACTTTGCATCACAATAGAAATGAGGAAACTAAAATAAATGTGTGTACACAATTAGATAGTTTTAATAGTTTTCAGAAGGTTACGACCACAATTGAAGAAAAGAAAAAGTTGGGATCCTGTATAAAAGGTAAATAAGAAAGGAATGCAATGACTTTTGAATGATTTATTCACAAAATAACAAACGCTTAAACTGAGACTTTTTAATATATCATTAAAAATATTAACTGAATTTGTATTTGATTGGAGCTACGTGTCTTAGAAAAGTTGGAATGAAACTTCAACTTTGCATTATTCATTATCTGCAGTGCATAGTATGACAAAAAGGTTCAGAGAATCTGGAGAAATCTCTGTGCGCAAAGGACGAGGCTGAAAATCAGCATCGGACACCTGTGATCTTCAGTCCTTTGTGCATTAAAAACAGGCATTTAGATGACTGCATGGGATCAGCACTGCGCCATCATAAATGTTAAGGGTTAGACATCCCTGACATATATAGACTGTTATTAAAAAGAAGGGGGATGGTACACAGTGGTCAGCATGGCCCTGTCCCAACCTTTGTTTTTTGAGAATTGTGCTACATCAAATTCACCATGAGATAAATATTATTTAAATGAGATGTTTTTGGTTTTTTTATTGGGAATAAAATATGACTTTATTGAGTACACTGGAGAGACCAAACAGCCGCTTCATAAACGCATGGCACAGCATAAAAGAGCCACCTCCACGGGACAAGACCCGGCTGTCCAGCTGCAGCTAAAGGACAACGGTCACTCTTTTGAGGATGCCAATGTTCATATTTTAGAAGAGAAGACAGATGGTTTGAAAGAGGAGTGAAAGAAGCCATCTATGTCCACTGTGAACAACTATCTTTGAACAGAGGCGGTGGCTTACGACACCAACCGTCTGCCATCTATAAACCAGTTTTGAGATCCCTTCCCAGACACCTTAAAGCCCACTTACATCCTGGGCCGTCTGACCTCAGGAAATCACATGATAGGGTTGGGCTAGGTTTCACAATGGGTCCACCTGAAACCTTGGCTGATTGTGACTTACACCCGTTTTCACACCTTGGCTTCTGGACTCTTCACCATTCGACCTTAGAACTGAAGAAGCTTCTCGGATGAGAGGTGAAAGATCTTACAGAAAACTTAAAGAAGTCTTTCCAAGCTCCTTAGACTATGAGTTTATTAAGATTTTCAAATCATTGCATTCTGTTTTTGACATTTTACACAGCGCCCTAGCTTTTGTTAGAACTGGGGTTGCACATTATAAACAACACACGCCAACTTTACAGTGGCACTGGAAGAAAAGTCCAAGGGTTTGTCCACCTGCAAACATAAAAATGTATAAATGTAGCTGCTGAGATGTTTCACTTTCAGATTTTTCAGGCTGTTAAAAGGAAATACAAATTCTTACGTGATAAAAGGTTTTTGTCTAAGTGAAGACTGCTCTTCGTTCAGTCACTACATAAAGACGACATACCACAGAAATAAAACACACTAACGCCACCGGCATTGCATTTATCTGAGCTCTGGGTTGCATTAGTATATTTTAAATTCTGTGACATTCTTGTTTGGAGGTCTTTCATGACCGCATTCTTCAGATCCAGAGTCTTCACATCTAAGCATTTGTATCATTATAAGGCAGAAGTGATGTATTTATGAATGCACTGTACCATAGAAATTTCCCGGCTTTTGTTTTTACTGGTGTGCTTTATGAAAACATTATGAATTAATTCATATCATCGTTCTATCAGGATCAGTTGGAAGTCTTGACTTCTGTCGGCAAACATCCATGTTTTTACTTTTCCTCATCAAATAAACTACAAAGGGATTACAGCAGAGATAAGAACTTTTTGTTTTGGAGGTAATGAAGTTTAACATCAGAAGCAGAAGGTGTGCCGGGTTATCCAAAGGTCTCCTTCGTGAATGTGGTTTTTTTTTTTAAGTTGGGGAAAAGGAAAGTCAAGGATGTCCTTGATGCTTTAAGAGGAAAAATAAAAACGTTATCTAAATACAGTCATTCTGTGGGATTGCGTTTGTCTGCACCGAGCTGCTTTTCCCAGGCTATGGCACAAATTAATAACCAAGAATAAAGCAGATGTTAATTAAAGGTTGACTGAGATTAATTATGAAATGCAAATTATAAATGAACTTAGGAGAGATGGGTGCTTTCAGGTTTGGGTCACTCTATGGCAAGACGTGTAAATGTCAAACTCCTAATGAAGAAAGCCTCATTTTCTTACATACTTTACACCGCGTGAAGAGTTTGGGCCGCGTCCTAAAGACTTTTAATGTCTAGGTATTATAATTGGAATAAAAAACACAATCAGGCCGGTTATGCTTTATCATCTGTTGACAGTTTATTAGGGACGTCAGGCTGTCTAATGGCTCGATCACACTAGAGTAATAATGCGATGACCGGGTTTTTGCATTGCATTGAAATTTTTTTTCTTGCACGTAGTTGCGGTGAACGGCTGGTTGCTCAGAGGTGGAGTTGCATTGCATAGTTTGCCTGGTGGGAGGCAACCTGTCTCCAAACAGCTGTGGTCCAACTCGGAGTGACTGCAGTCACTCTGGGACAGATTGGCAAATAATTGTCGTCCAATTTATAAATACAAGCAGGTTGCCAATAAGCACAACTGCTACGTGTCTCTTCTGATTCTATTCTCTTATAAAAGCAAGGTTTCTGAACTTTGTGCATCCTGCACCAAAGCACCAAATCTGCTTTGTAGACAACAACAGACTGCGAGTGATTGCAGGCCTAGTCCCTGAGATGCTCATTGCATGCAGTTGCATTAATTTTCATTGTGCCATGTTGTCCAACCAGGTGACGGTAGCGTGATGAAACAGTCTTGCAGCCTTTGTAAAGGTATGTGTTGAGGTGTTTGCTTAAATTCAACAAGAGACACTCAGTGTACTTAATGTTTCACACATCATGAAGATGGACCACTGCTGTAGCTTTTTAGCTGCACAAATTAACTTTATGATCAGCTTGTTTGTTCATATTTCATAGTCAGACTTGAAAAGATCTAGAATTCCTCCACAGAAACAGAAAAGTAAAAAACCAAAAAAAAAACAAGCTGCCAAAAATAATTGCTGGATAAAAGTCAGAAGGATATTTATATTAAAGCGTTAAATCATCAAAGTACACAGAACTACACCTTTAAACTGATGCACCTCGTTTTTCCTTCAAAATAGAACCCTGACTGAGAAGCAGCAGCCTTCAACAGTCAAATGTCAAGTGCAAATAAAAAGTCTCATGTAGCCAAGTTACCGTTTAAATACATTTTATTTATTATGGCTGGAATATGTGCCAACATGGATAATTACAGAAAGGCCAAAGTCAGACAGCAACATCACAGCACGAGTGTCTCTGCTGGGCTCATCACTGACTTTATGTTCTGAAGTTTAGGAGGAAACAAGAGAAACGGCGCGAGAGAGGAGCTTTTTTTTCTTTTCTTCTTAATTTATGACATATTCTTGCTTAAAAGTCTGTGAGGCCATTTCTGAATCATCACAGTGCACATCTGTTCAGAAACATGAAATGTTGCCATCTTCATGGTTTCATTTGCTTTGAACCACAATGCTCATGAGCAACAGGGCAGCCTAGTATCACGTGGATGTCCCACCAATGTACAGTATTAAGTGCTGATTTAAAAACAGACTATAATGCAGAGAACATATACTACTCCTTGTGAAACCATTGAAGAATCTCCATTGATGACATTTCAGCAACTGGAACATCTTCATATTATACATTTCACCACTTACAAGAGTGGTGAGGACTTTAGGAAAATAAATGGCATCTTGCACAGACATTCCTTCTAAAAAACTAAGCTAGACAAAAAACAAACATCAATAACAACAACAACAAACTTGTAAAAGGTTGGACTTCCTTTTGCAGGCTTTTCAGGCAAATAGTGGCAATAAATGATTTATGGTGGGAGGACTCGTGAAGTTCATGATGGTGACAAAATAACTGAGAGGTACTCTGACCGCAGCTGTTTCATATCATTCCTCAACTGTTCTGTCTCAACTGTTTCCATTTAATAAAGGCAGAAAAATGTCTTAAAAAAAGATTTACCTGCTGTAACATAATAATAATAATAAAAACCACACTGTGATGTCATGTTTTTCATACCAGATCATTTAAACTGATATTAAACATAATTTAAGGTGTGACCACACAAAATTCACGGGAATCAGAAGAGAGCGCAATCACAACTTCCACTCCATAAACGTCCAGTGTTTGTCTGATGTTCACAGCTGGAACATCGGCTGCGGTACAGCGACTGTACCGAAAGCATGCAGTACATAGCTTACACTGTATTTCAAGACATTTTTGGTTTTTTCTAGAGATGGACTGATCCCATATTACGTATCGGTCCAATACTGACCTAAATTACTGGATCAGATATTGGAGAGAAATAAAAAATGTAATCCGGTCCATTAACTATCACAAAAGCACCTCACAAAACTTGCGACATGGCGTAACCCAGCTCATAACCGTAGCACGTCGGAGGAATATGCGTCACGTGATAGAGCGGCTGTGGCGTGCGAGACCTGGAGGCGGTCTGGTTGAGCATTTGGAGCCTCGCTATGTGCTTCCAAACCGGCATTTAATCTCCGAGAAAGGTATCCCAGAGAAGTAAAGCAAGCATCTCTGAGTGTTTGTAAAGCATTCCCACGTTAAGTTTAACTTAAAATGCAGCAAGATATTTAAAAAAAAAGTTTTATTGATTATAAAATATGCTATATCGGATTTATATCGGTATCGACAGATATCGGACATAAAAAAGTGGTATCGTGCCATCTCTAGCTTTTTCATTCTTTTTGTGTGTGAGAAATACTCAAATATGAATATTAATTAAATTGTAGTTGTATGCACCAATATGGATTTCTGCACATTTTCACCAAACTTACAAAATCATCAGTCACATGGGTTTAAAAACCTGTTCTACTTGGACTTGTTGTGATTGACCTCACCTACTCTTATCTCCACATGATGGACTCAAACCTTAAACTGTGCATGTCCACAGCGTTTGTGCTGTGGACACAAACGCCATGAGTGAGAAAGAGCAGTATTAGCCTAATTTTGTTACACGAGGAGGTTCAATCAGACGCAGGTCTCATGCAGGCTGTGCAGCTGCTCTAACGTGGGTGCTGAAATAAAAAGGAGGATTCGTGAATGCCACGCACAGGTAAGCAGCCTGTTCGGAGCTTTGCGGTCGCTAATTGTTTGTCCATTTTTGACATTTCCCACATTAAGAACAACACGATTACCCATCTGTGATGCTTCAGTAAACATGTACTTTCAGTTTCTGATCATTCATAAAGGTTGTTGATTTACAACTTAAAGGATGAAACCGTGTTGAACTGATAAAAAATAAACCGCTGGCTCATGTTTTGCTTGTTTTTTCCCCATTGCATTTGTTTCCATCGATTCACACGCTGTGCAGGTTGCGCCGCTGTAAGCTACGTTCACTGTGAATACGGGGAAGCAATGCAGGTTAATTGCACTTAAGCATTACACATTTCATAAAAACCTTTCTGAAACAATTCATTTTAGCCTCTTACATTTGCCTCACTCATGAAAAATCAATATAATTCACCGTCTATATCGTCTTTGGTGTCAAGTACACTGCATTAACATTTTCCCTTTACAGCAAAATAAAGCGATCTCTTAGGCAACCCAGTGAAATGTCTAATTCTGAATAATACATGACATTTTATTCTAAAGTAACTTAGTGGTCACAATGTGAATAAAAGAGCTTTTTAAACAGTGGTGCTTTATAAGGGGAGATTATGCTTTTAGCTGCATTTTCCTTCAGTCTTAATGGCTTCTAGAATATAGCAGATAACACTCAGCCTCACCAGTTCAGGAAAAACTCTATGCAGATGTTCAACTCCAGGAGCTAAAAGTAAGTACATTTTCAGGGGTAGGGGTGGGGTGTCTTGATATTGCAGTGACAAATCAAGTTTGCTGAGGTAAGAAATTATAGCACTGGAAAAATAGGCACACAGATGGGTAGTTACTCACAGGCAAAAAACCTTAACATTCATGGGAGGGCTGTCAACAGTAAAGCACAAGACGGCTATTTGGGATGCCATCATCGACGCAGAGCGTAACTCTGCCCGCGCCCGAGTCTTGTGCTTTGAAGTTTCTTTTCGTCTCTGATGCTTTAAAATCAGCCGACTTTAATGGTCACTGCTTTTTGAGATTCTCTTGAAATGGAAAGGATCTCCAGGTGCAGACCCGTCGATGCAGAGATTAATATTCGGTTCAAAGGACGCGAGCGCGCTCCTGGGTGTCTGTTACATCAAGAATCGTTCAGATAAAGTAACATCTAGTGATTTCGGTCCATTCATAATAAGGTACTTGTCCAGTGCGCGTGGACGTATTTGACCCTGAATCCTTTGATGTGTGTTTGGGATCAAACGTTCGGGTCCACCACAGTTTGCCGACAGGAAGAAGTCACATGCGTCCCTGAGCCAGCTGAGCTCGCCTCTCCTCCAGACAGCGGCACACCCACATCGACACCACCTCCGCATTTCCATCGTTATACTGTACGATGAAGGGATGATCCTGTATGAAGGGAAAACACAAGCGCTTAATGATTCTATTTAGAATATCTAAGAAAAGGTTGTGGAGAACAAAGCGAGCACATTTAAAGACTCAAAGTTAAATTAAAAAAAATAAAAAGGTATTTGTAAGTAAATAAAGGCTGCTGAGAATCAAAATGAGCCAATTAAATTAAGGTTCTAGTACTGCTTTACTTTTTTTTTGCAACAAAACTTACTGGATTATATCGTAAATCATACTTTTCACTTTTTTAACAAACATGAAAATAAATACAACATATATGACCTTCATAATAACTGCTATGTGGTAAAAAATGAACTAAAGTGGCTGTAAAAACACAAGTAATGAGCTTTCTCATAAAAAAAAGAAAAGAAAACTCAAATGTTTCCACCCATTCTACAATATTATTTTATTATCAAACAGATTGGAGCCACAAACATTATTACATCTTTATGCGAAGTGTACGGTGTAGCAGCTACTTGCATCTGAGTCATGATTCACAAAATGATAAAATGCAAACAACTTAAACGGGAACATCATAAAACCCTCTTAAATATTAATGTCCAACAGATTTGGTTTTAAAGACAGAACGTTTAAGTAATGGCTTGTCAGAGCATTTCAAACAAATATCTTTTAAGTTTAATGAGCTACGTGAGTCATAACGGGATGTGGGATGAGCTTTGTAATAAAAGACAGCCATGGCAGAAACACAGCCCAATCATGAACGCTCCTTCTGAACACATTTTCCAAAAAAATAAAGACTAATTCTGAAGCCTTCTTGTGCTTCGGGAAATCCACCAACACGACCCTGTAGCCCATCGAGCCGTCAGACTCCAGCACCATTCACTTGTTACTGCTGCAGGACTTAAACAGAGATGTCACATGTCAGCGGTCCCAGTAACCAGACTCATCTGGAGGACTGTGGACCAGAGGTTGCAGAGGTCACAGAGGGTCAAGAGGTGAGAGGGGAGGAGGCTGCAAATGAGACAAATCAACTCGGACTAACCAGGAATTTTATTTGAGTGTCTAGATGTCCAATTAGGTAAACAGCGCTCTGGCCGGCCGGTTTAAATGAACTTGTCAACACTGATCTCAGTGATTTCCGTCGTGAACAACAAGAAGCTGTCAGTGTTGCACGCCGTTTGGAGGAGTTCAAAGTAAGAAGATCAATCTCAGCAAAAAAACAAAGACACACGCTCAGCTTTTTTTCACGGAGCTACGTCAATGAATCTGGGATAACAGGAGACAATAACGTATATCAGCCAATATATTTAACGTCACTTAAATATAGTACCACTACTGAAGAGTTTGATTTCAGCCATGTTAGCAGCATGTTGTCTGTATAAACATCTATTCACCTTTCAATCCTTCCCCCATAAAGACCACATCTGATGCCCTGAGTACTGTATTTATCAATAAAGGCACGATTTGATGAACATTCGAATAGTTTCCGGGTTTCCAAGAGTAACTGCATAGGCAGAGACCACACTCACTAACTTCTGATGGAAACCAAGTCATTTTGTTCAATAAACAGGCCTGAAATATGACAGAAACCAATTTAGAAGTTCAAATTCAAATTCAGAAGAGCTTCAAGGGTTAATCTCAACAGTCTTTACAGGATTAAAGAGTTAATGCAACTATGATGCTTTCATCTATGTTTCTAAGGGCTGACAAGAGACTTCTGCCCATTCATATATGAGGAAATTAATCAGGATTGATCTCCACCTGTCTCTGTGGCCAACATCAAGTCAAATTGGATTTCTAGCATAAATACCTACAAAGGAAAACATGACCCAGTCTGCCTCAAGCATCAGTCCCACAGACTCAGAGGCCTACTGGCACCAATCTGGCAATCACCAACCAAGAGGGATAAACCTGCATTCTCAAGTCATGCACATCTAGAGCCCAGTCAGCAATCCCCTTAGCAACCATTGGTTGCTAGAGAAAAGTATGAATCCCACAACTGGTTTGCAGCACCCCGATCTGTGACCAATCTCACCCAGCAACTGCCATCCAAGAAACAGTGAATACACACCTTTCACTAGCGACCAGGAGCTGCTAAGTGGTTGCCAACGAGTCTCTACGGTTGTGTTATTGAGCCCTTAACTGCACTTTGTGACCATCACAAACCCACAAACTTTGTATCCAAATCTACGTAAAATGTTACATAAACAGAACACATTGCCAGCTACAGTGATTTTATTTTAATCTGCCACTTATTAATTTTGACCTTAAAACATCAAGATGAGTTCTACCTTCTTTGCCAACCTGAACATTTTTTTTTTAAAATAAAACTTTAACATTTATATTTCCTTGATCTGCAGGGCTGTAGGTCAAAAGCAAAATGCAAATCTTGTCAATATGAAAAGAACATGACTAGTGTGATTCAAATTGGAGGCAGAAAGTGACTCCAAGGTGAGTAATGTTGTTGTCAGCTGTTTCTTCTGGGGTCTTTAATACCCGCCAGCAACACCCAAACTGGTGCAGACAATATAAGATTAGTGATAAAGTAGGACAGGCTGGTCCACTTTTTTCCTCCTGAGAGCCTTGTCTATTTGTGGTTACACGGGGAAATATGTGACAATTATGTTCATAAAAATAAAAATCACACCGAGGGGGAATAAAGTGATAACTTAAAAAAAAGACAGTATCAGGATTTGTTTGATTTTTGACTTTTCTGCTTTCTCTGCTCGCTGCGGTTTCCTTTGTGAACACTTCAAAGAAAATGGAAACACTTTGCAGTGTGTTTTAATCATGCACAAAATGTAGAGATTGTTAAAGACTAGGGGGGAGTCCCATCAATCCTGTTGTCCTTCTAATGGCCAGCTGGGGTTAACACAGTCTGAGGTTAATTACTCTCATATCATTGTAAGCGTGCGTGTGTGTGTGTGTGTCAGTATGAGACGGGCGGAGTGGACGCTCCTGGGTGCCCCTATGTGCTGAATACCCATCTCATCAATCATTCTTCCTTCCCTCAGTAGAGAGGGTGATACAGAAATAAAGAAGGAAGTCCTGAGTAATGTTTTTAAAATCAGGCTCCAACCTCCACTCTAGAAATTAACCCTAAAGGCCAGAGACATCTGCTGGAATTTGACCTTGATGAAGGTACTTCTCACAGTGCTCTTTTAGCCTCTTTTCTGTCATCACATCCCATCACACCCAAGAAATAGATGAATTATGATTAAAATGAGGAAAAAAGAACTGAACAGTGTATACAAGACATCACAGGAAGTCCAGAAAATAAAACTAAACATCAAAAGTTCAAGGAGAGCGAGTAAACTGTTTCCATGGTCAAGTATGAACCTAAATCTGAATATTTAATCCTACACAAAAAAAA